GGGGGCAGCATCGGAGCCGGGCGGGGGAGGGGAGCACACATACCTGGCTGCTCTAATTACCCGTCAGTTTCATGAACAACAAATTCAGCTAAAATATTCAAAAACACCCAGGCCAGGAATCCAGGCAGAATTGGGTCGAAGGCACCAGGAGCTGGGGGGAGGGGCAGGAGTGGGTGCTGCGGGGGAGGGGCAGGGTCTGGCCGGATGGAGGGTCGTTAGATACCACGGCCCTCGCCAAGCTGGGACCCCACCCCCCACTCGAGGCAGACTCCTACCCATGGGTTGGGATCACCCCACATTATCCCCCTCCCCAGATTGCATCTCTCACGCCCTGGCCTGGGACCCATCCCATCTCCCTGGGGTCTCACCACGCTGGCCTCCAGGGGGTCCCTCCAGACAAGCCACCTGCTTCCACTCTGGCATCTCCAGCAGGATGGCTGGGTGTGCGCACTGGGGGCTGGGCTCGGGCGTGGGCTTGGGCTTGGGTAGAGGGGCTGGGATAGAAGGTGGGTCTGGACTGGGGAGATGGATCGAGTCGAGTTGGTTTGAGCGTTGGACGTTGGGTTGGAGTTGAACTGGGTTGACACGGGGTGGAGGTTGAGTGGTCAGTCTCCCCTATCCCCTATGCCCCCTTTTCCCCAAGGGGTCTCACCCATCGAGGTGGCCTGCAGGATGCCCCTCCAGATGGGTTCTCCGCTGCCACATCTGAAGCAGGTTGAGGTTGGGGGTTGAGTTGAGAGTTGGGTGCGGCTTAGAGTGCAACTGAATTGAGTTTGGGTTGGGCTGAGTTAAGGTTGAGTTGGGTGAGGGCTGGGGTTGGGTTTGGGTTGAGAACTGGAGTTGAGTTGAGAGTTGAGTCTGGGCTGGATTGAGATGAGTTGAGGTTGAATTTGGATTGGGTTAATTTAAGGTTGAGTTGCATGGAGATGGGTTGGGTTAAGGTTGGGTTGGGATCTACCTGTGGAACACCTTGCCAGAGGATGTTGTGAAGGCCAAGACTATAACAGGGTTCAAAAAAGAACTAGATGCATTCATGGAGGACAGATCCATCAATGGCTATTAGCCAGGATGGGCAGGGATGGGGTCCCTAGCCTCTGTTTGCCAGAAGTTAGGAATGGGCAACAGGGGATGGATCACTTGATAAGATTACCTGTTCTGCATTGGCCACTGTCGGAAGACAGGACACTGGGCTAGATGGACCTTTGGTCTGACCCAGTCTGGCCGTTCTTCTGTTCGGGTTGGGATATGGTCTTGCTGGGATTGAATTTGGATTGGGTTGGTTTAAGGTTGAGTTGAACTGAGATGGGTTGGGTTTGGGTTGGGAAAAATTCGGGTTGGGGTGAAGAGTTGAGCTGAATTGAGACGGACAGGGGCTGAGATGACGATTGGGTCAACCTCCCGACCCGCTCACCCCTCCCACCACCGCCCCCCTCCCGCCCCCCATGATCTCACTCACTGAGCTGCCCTCCAGGATATCCCTCCAGATGGGCGTCTCCTCGTCCCGCTCCGCCATCTCCAGCAGGTTGTCCAGCACCACCTGCCCGATGAGGTCGTGGCGGGAGAAGCGGTCGAAGTCGTAGACGCTGAAGTGCAGCTTGCGCCCCGGCAGCTCGGCGAAGGGGACGTTGAAGTTGAAGGTCTCGTTGAAGACGGGGTTGAGCGTCTTGCGGTGCACCTTGGTCTGGAACTTCTTCTTGCGGTCGGGCAGCAGGTACATCTTGACGTAGGGGTCGGAGAAGCCGTTGGCGTCCTTGGCCGGCAGGTCCAGCGCCCGCAAGATCCTCACCACCAGCTGCTCCGAGGCGTAGGCGTAGCGCAGAGCGAAGCTGATGCGCCCGCAGGGAGGACCCTCCGCCTTACGATGCTCTGCCTCGCCCGCCCGCTGTTTGTACAGCTCCGGCTTGATCTGACCGATGCTGGTGGCCTGCTCCGGCTTGTCCTCCCCACCGTGGCTGACCACCTCCGGGCTGGAGAGCTGCTGGGTCAAGGGGCGCGGCAGGGTGTTGTACCTGTGAGGGGTCGGGAGTTGGGAGGGGCGTACTGAGGCATGGGGAGCCCCCAACCCACCTGGGACAGGAGCTATGGGGCTGGGAGGAGGGGGGGCAGCTCCCCCTGAATGCACTGCCCCCAGGAGCCCCCACACCCTAGGGCTCCCCTTGTGAAACCCCAAGTACGCCCCCGGCCCCCCTGAGACAGAGCTTCGGTTCCCCCTCCCATGCCAGGCCCTCTCCTGCTGCCCCTAGCGGGCGGCGAGGGCGGCCCCGGGCCTCACCTGGGGGCGGGAGCCAGGGTGGCCACCTGCTGGTGGGAGTGCGCATTGGGCATGCCGGCGCCCTCCTTAGGGCCGACCTGCCCCTCCACCGGCAGGTCGGGCGAGGTCTGGCTCAGCTTGAGGGTGGCCTCGGGGTAGGAGTCCATGTCGAGGTAGGAGCGTTCAGGCATCTCGGGCCCCAGCTCGACCCGCTCCACCAGCAGGTCGCCGTAGGGCGAGTGGTGCAGGTGGCCGTGGAGGCCGTGGTCCTTGCGCGGCGCCGGCGAGGCCTCCTTGTCCCGCCAGGGGATCCAACACAGCTTCCAGGAGACGAAGAGCGAGACCCCCAGCAGCACGATGCCGCAGAAGGTGACGATGACGGAGAGCAGGCTGACGGAGATGTCTGTGCGGGTCAGAGGCTGTGAGCGGCGGGAGAGGCAGGCTGGAGACCCCGTCCTCCCATCGGTACCACAGACCCCTGGGCACAAAGACCCCCACCCCCAGTATCCTACCATCACCACCTGGAACATCGACGTGACCACGTGTCCCCCCATATCCCATCACCCCCCGGAACGTCGACACGGCCACGTCCCCCTGTAATATCCCATCACCGCCCGGAACATAGACACAACCACGTCCCCCTGTAATATCCCATCACCCCCCGGAACGTCGACACGGCCACGTCCCCCTGTAATATCCCATCACCGCCCGGAACATAGACACAACCACGTCCCCCTGTAATATCCCATCACCGCCTGGAACCTAGACACAACCACGTC